CAGAGGAGCCACGGGAACATTTTCGCGAGAAAATCAGCTGTTTGCGGGCTGTAACGGTCGGCGATTTATGGCGCGCAAACATAAATCAAGAGATAATAATCGCTTTCTAATAAAATAACCTTAGATTAATGTCAAACATTACTATTTAAAGATATCCAATCGTCATCAATCACTAAAATCATTTCCACTTCCTTCAAATCGCATTTATAAACAATTCACATTTGTATTACGTGCGCCAAATGCGTCTACGCAAGAGCCTCCTCCAAAAAACCAACTTTTGTTTGGGATGAGGGAGGAGGCAAATAGTGGTGGTGAGATGTGAAGTCAAGATGAGCTTGGAGGAGCTTGGAGGAGCGACGGGAACGATTTTTTGAAACGAGAGGAGGTTAGAGGAGCTTGGAGGAGGTTAGAGGAGCGACGGGAACAAACCCTATGTCTTCTCATGCTGTCGAATGCTTTTTCCTTGGTCGATAATAGATTTAGGATGGATTTGCCTCACGGACGGTTAATAGCATTCAAACATATTGAAGTAACGGACGAAGCTTGCGATGTTTCTTGCAGGCATTATCTTCCCGAGGTCGCAGGATTATTTTTGTACCATTACTTGTTATGGGTATAGTAGCAGCTTTCAGTCGCTGTTCGCAACTGGCGCTCATCGCCCGCACATGGGGGGGGGGGGGTGGTTGCCCCCCCCCAGGCAGTCTTTCTGCTCTGCACTCAATATTTTTAGAGCTAGAAGGCTGATTTTTCGTATAGCTGCTCGTCTATCCTTTCTTGATGTCCACTGAAAATTTCAAGTTTCTGTGATTTTTGGTTTCGGAGATATGACCTTGTTTTTCAGGTCATGTCATGACCCAAATGGCCAATTCTCAACATCTTGCGTTTGCCATGGGCCTTGTGAGCTTTTGACACCCTGATATCGGCCTTTTTTGCCAGTCTTACCTCCCACCTATCATGGAACATGTTGTTCGACGATGTACAGGGGTCAAGGTCAGGGTCAAGGTCAACCTAGGTCATCTAAGATAATTGCGTTTTAGGCAAGCTGAATTTACTTTTTGTGAAGTTTTTTGACTGCATTTTTGGTAAAAGCTTCTCAGATCATGATTTCATGTGATATGGACCCAAAAACAATCGGTGCACACATCAGTAGGGGAGAGTGGGGAAATATGCCCAGGGTTTTACTATGTCATATATTATTCGAAAATGACGATCGGAAAGCAAAAACTTGGAGTTTCAACGGAAGTCGACATCATTTTTCTCCAAAAATATCACACTTTCGTGCCTGAAATATGATAACTTTTTTTGCTATTAAGCATTTTCCTGAAGAAGTCAAAGGGGGCATCTTACCCCACAGGGTGGGAAAGACGCCCCCTGGCGTTGGGGAAGATGCCCCCTGCACTATAAGTGACATAAATGGGCACGTGAATCGCCTGAACGAATCAGTAGTCCCTTCGAGCCTGCAGTAGACACCAAACGTCATCGTAAGGGCCCTCAAAAGTGGTCGTAAGGTGCTTCAGAGGTCATCGTTAGGGTCATCATAGTCCAGCGCGGCCAAACAAGCTTCCGTGGTGGCGTTCGGAGACCACTGTCGGGCCCTTATAGGTCTTCATGATGCTTGAGGGCCCTCGAGCCCATCGTGGGGACCTCAGATGCCAGCGCGGCCCGTGGAGCCAACGTGGGAGCCCTCAAAGGATATCGTGAGGGGCCCTGGAGCCAATAATGGGGCCCACCGAGGCCGTCGTGAGGGCTCTCAGAGTCGGATGCCGCCCAAAAAGTCGCTGTGTGGGCCGAGAGACCGGCATGGGGAGCACCCGACCGTACTGAACTCTCAATAGTCCCAGATCGGCTTTTGTCTCTCATCACAAGCATGTAATAAATGATTTGACGGGCTGCTTGAAGGACAGCCTACGGATTTAGGGGGGCGTCTTTCCCCATCAGGACAGGGGGCATCTTACCCCAAGGTACCGAAGTAACATTAAATCAGTACAATATGTTAGCCATAAAACTACACCCTGAAACAAACTGTTTGGGACACAGTACACGCATGTTAATGTATCACGACTATATCAAGGGACGCAAAAATTATCTACCTTCTTTGATATTTACAATGTTTTAACACCAAAATATTTTTCGAAAGCAGCAAATAAAAAACATGCATTCACCAGCCAGCCGCTGCCCAACTGAGCTTCGCAAATTTTTGTGCAGTTAACAAGGCAGGCTTCCGCTTTACGCTAAGAACATTAATTTCCGGGTTCAATTCTTTGTTTCGCCGCTAGAGGGGGTGGGGCGTCTTTCCCACCCTGGGCATCTTACCCCACTCTCCCCTATACACACAGACACACACAGACATACAAACACATATAATTGACCTTGACCTAACTTGACCTGAAATGACCTCAGCAGCAAAATTCTGGTCGGATAGTGTGACAAAGAGGTTCTAGCTGGCTTGGCACCAGAAAACAGCATCGTCATCGGTATTTGATAAGCAGCGCACTTGATATCCAACGGTGACCCAAAACAGCAACATTTTTTAGTTTGACCTGACCTGGAAGGTCAATGACTGACCTGAGAAGGTCAAACTGGGTATCATTGGATTCGTCTCTTCCCAAAGAATCTTTTTGGTCTTTACTGCTAAGCTCTATCTCTAACAGGAACGAAATGGCGCGGGGGGTGGCAACCACCCCCCCCCCCCCCCCCATGTGCGTTCTAGGATGGGAAAATGGCATGTGCGGGCGAGGGTTTTAATTTTCAACTACCGATCAACGGGGATGGGTGGTTTGGCGGCATGATGTTGGATGGCTATGAAAAGCTTTTACAAACATTATGCCTAAAAAATATTTCAGAAAGCGGCTCCCGCACAAAGCGTTTCATTTTACGGTTTTGCTCTGTGGAGGCTTATCCGTTGACCGCGAACCAAAATAAGGGCAATTTGTCTTTGACCTCGGAAAAGTGTCTGGTCACCTGACCTCTGGGCTCGCTGGACCAAAAATAATCAAAGCGTAACGTACCGATCAACTGTAGGAGTCCGATCGACCCCCTCCCCCTCCCCTCCCCGCGGCCTCTAGGTACATTAGCTGCTGTAAAGACGCCAATAAGGACAAGGGTGGACCCGAAGAAGAGAAAGTTGAATACTTAACACACTAATATGTCCAAAATAAGCTATGGATTTACTTGGGGTACTCCTAAGGATATGCGATGGGTAGTCTTGGGATTCGAGACGAGAATCTTGGGAAATTCTGGTCGAGATCTTGGGATGGAGCAAAAATGTGGATGGCATCACTGGTATGTATATGTTACAGGCACTTTAGAAAATCAGTCATTTTGTAAAATGCCTAGGCATTTTACAAAAAGACGGCTGTTTGGAAAATGACTGAACGCAACCAGGCTTTTTTCAAAATGGCTAGCCATTTTACAAAATGACTAGGCATTTTGCAAAATGCCTGACCAGCATGGAACGTAGATCCCACTACAGATACTATGGCCAACAGTTTTTGGACGTCTTCCTATACCCTATAGGTACGTGTTCAGCCTGTAGCTGATCGATCTGAAGCTCTGTGATGACGACAATGCTGTGTAACGACCAGGTTGAGTTGCAGACTCGGCTGTAGCATAAAACATTGTTTAGTTAACGCTGTAAAAACTCCCAAGTACATCAACGCCGTTCATGTTCTGCCTGAAACTAGACTGACTGACTGTAGGTTGATAAAAAGTCTACTATTTCTGTCCGTTCCTGGTTCGTTATGAATTGATGGTTTTTGCCAGCACTTGAGTCTATGATCTCCGCCACCTTGCGGTCGAATTCTGGACGCGACATAACGGTCCACGAGGCACTCGCGACACGCACGGACGCTCACTCACAGCCCACGGATCAACAAAGAAGCCCAGTGTGGACCACCCCTCCCCTCCTCAGTTGACTGGACAGCGCTAATTGGCTCTAAGGAACTTCAACAAGTCTACCCTAGGCCTAGTCCACGCAATTGTTTACAGTATTATTGTTTAGGTTTTCTTCCTAACTTTTTTTTTGAATAAAAAAGCTCTCTGATCACAATGAATATTAAAGCAATAATTAACAAAACACGATTAATTTTGTTCTGTGGCAACAGCTTTGAGTACCTACTTGCATGGTCCCAGTTAAAAATATCAAGCTCCACATCGGGAGAATCATCAGGTCGCTTGGCGTAGGACGAGCGCGTTGGTTTCAGAAGACACTAACGCCTAAGTGTGTGGGATCGAACCCTCGCGACCTCTAATAGTCTTACAGATACAGGCCGGCATAGGGCCAGTCGTTTGTTGACGCTCCAGATCGATCATTTTAAATCCAGCAGCGTCGCTGACGTCGGGGTTGGAAATGTCGCGGGCCTGCACTTCTCAAAATAGAGGTAGGTATGGACTTCCCACTGCTGGACTCCTCTGGTCATAATGCTGGACTCCTCGGTCCACCTACACGCTACCAAAACGTATATAATTAGGTACTCGTATCTACAACACGCTGCTCAGTCATTTTGTAAAATGGCTAGGTATTTTGTAAAATGCCTAGGCATTTTGCAAAATGACTGGAGAGTCAGTCATTTTGTAAAATGCCTAGGCTTTTTGCAAAAAGCCTGGAAAATCAGGCATTTTGCAAAATGCCTAGGCATTTTACAAAAGGACTGATTTTCTAAAGTGCCTGCAACATATATATAATATAATATATATAGTATATATATAACTGATATGTATAGATCGAACTGCGCGCGGATTGTCAAACAGCTGAACGGCACATTTTATGGCATTATATATTGGCGTCACGGTCAAATACAATAGCAAATGGTACAGATGTGACAAATAATAAATTCGACTCTGCAGCGGCCTTCATAAATCATAATACATTCGGCAAGTCTAGGGACATTCCATGGTCGTCTTCAAAAGCTTTGCTGAAATCGAAGGAGGCATAAGCACAACATCAAAAAAGTTTCGATATAATGTACCGCATTCCACAAGACAACCTGAACGACGAGCCAACTCACTTCGTGTTCTAAAGCTCCCAACTACGTAGTTAAAACATTTCTTCAATAAGCGACCTGAGAGATTTAAAATAACAAAGAACACAATAGTCTCGACATCGAGTAAATAAAACACATTGCAAATGAAACGCTCATCTATGTTTACCTACACGTTCACCATCTGACGTTCAGTGAAGCGTCCCTTGCATATAAAAAGTAAAGTGCCAGAGATGTTGTACATGAATCCAACGTGTCGTGGGTGATCAGTGCATTATAACTGGAGCCCCATCCAGGCGCTTGATGCTGGGTAGCCTCTTGATGGCCTCTTCTCGCCAGGTACCCTCCGCTGCGTACCTCTCCTCCAGCGGGTTCCCTGCGGAACACGGTGAGTCAGATACATCAGACGCGATTGACGGCAGGTAATGTCGCTGCACTGAATTTAAACTCGGGAGCACTCGCATGAAATGGCGTACGGCGCAGTTCTTTGGGGACAAACAGCGACTTTATAGCTCGATCGAGGCCTAGTCCTCATCCGCGTACAGATGCGGGAAAGGGCCATTCAAACCGCTTGGTCCCTCTATATCGCTAAACGGTGCCGCAGTTGCGGCGTCAACTGTACGGCAACATGACGAAGTTACTTTTTGTAGTCACTGCACTGTCGACGTGGATAAGCGAATCTCATTTTTACAGTTTGGGAGTCGTTCACTATGTGAACATCAACATACCGATACGTGCCAACAAACTTGACTAAAAATGTACAAATGTTCACTTGATTAAAAAAGCGTTAGGACTTACCCACAAAGACAAGGTCGACCAAATTTGGCAGCTCGTTCAGCTTTGTGAACTCCGACCAATCTTTGACGAAGTTATTTGACATGTACAAGACAGCAAGTTTTCTAAGTGCGTTGATCCCTTTCATTCGTTCTATATTATTGTAAGAGATCCAGAGTTCTTCCAAGGTATCAGCAACGACCTCCTGAAAATGCATAATTAGAGCCATAATTAGAGCTTGTTTTGCTGGGTTAGGCCTAATTGGTCTGTTTAGATCATTTAGGATCGTGGTTCTAGTACCTAAGAGAGGATAAAGTGGTGGCATTTTGAGGTGAGCCGACCAACGGTCGTGTGTCGCACTCACAGCGATTGAGCGCAAAACATATTTTTTCATGTTTATTTTCCAGACCCTGAGGAAGCTATTACCTAAAGCCTGTTAAAGCCAAACATCGGGCAATTGATGTGTCTATTTTTTAACGATTAACAACTAACGATTTACGATTCGACATTTTACGATGAGTTCTAGAGACTAGAATAACGGTTTACAAAAACTCTCCGCTGCATTTACTTTCTCGACTGAACCGATTGCGTCTTCGAAGAGCGTTTCGCCTGGGACAGGACAACCAGTCGTTAACCCTATTCCTGGCGGGGGGGGGGGGGGCCTCAGGAGCCCCCCCTGAGGTTTTTTGGTTATATCTCCCAAACGCGTTGAGCTAGGAAGCTCAAATTTTCTGACTTTTCCTAAAAGGCTTCTACGCAACATGTCTGAAAATTTTGAGTTGATCTGACCTCAGGTCAGGTCACCAGAGGCGGTTTGGTGACGCTACCTCAGAAAAGTTTGCAATCACGCCAGTGCTAGAGTTTTTGACCGATCAATTTCTTCTCTTCAGGGTTTAGTTAGGGTACCAGTATGTGCAATTTGTATATCTCGGAATTTTGATATCGGTGACCTAAGGTCAGGTCAATTTCGCGACCTCCCCATTATAAGTCAATGGGGGAAAAATCAACTCCCTGTTTTTACCACTAAAACGGGTCGGAATGGCCCCATATACCATACATGACCTCATATACGATCAACCTTCACTACCTTGAGGTCTGTTTTGCTGTTGGGCAGCTGTGAGGTCATGTGACGTCATCAAAGGTCACCAAAGGTTTTTGGCCAATAACTCCGTACAGGAACAAGATACAGACGCGTGGATGGTCTCATTGTGTTCAGCTCGTCAAGACGCATCGAATGATATACATGATGACCTCGAGGTCACGTGACCTGAGGTCAACCTTTGACCTTGACCTTTCGAGGTCAACATATATATCATTCGATGCGGATTGACGAGAGGATCACGATGATGCGCTTAGTTTGTTCCTATCTTGACTAATTCGAAAGTTATTCGAGAAAAACTCTCCATATCTAGTGCCGCCATTTTGACTTTTTCGACCCCTGTGACGTCATCTTTGACCTGACCTGAAAATGACCTTAGTAAAAATTGTAGATCTTGGCCGTGCGTATCCGATGCCGTTTACCGCTTGTCGCTATCTTGCTTCGTTCTCGAGATCTCAGGGGGGGGGGCCGAATCGGCCCCCCCCCCCGCCAGTTTCTTGTCCCGGCGGAGCCCGCCAGGAATAGGGTTAAAACGGCCACCCCGAAGGACTACTCGCTCCCGCTGGAGCTGCCATCCAGGCTCCATCGGTTGTCCGGGTACAGTGCCGGTCAGTCAGGAACAGGATAAGCTTGCGTTCGGCATCTGGAAAATGAGGGATAATTTACCGGGATCACCGGTAATTATTTGGTATTGCAGGGACCATCGATGCAATTAGTCAAGTTTTTACATTGCTATTGCTTCGCTAATGGTTCCGTTGTAATGTCCAATGTCCATTGTCCGTTGTTGGTCCGTTGTGCATATTGACAGCCTAAAATACCGATTGATCCCGGTGATCCGAGAAAATTATTACTCATTTTCCAGATGCCGAATACACGCCAAGAATGATAGTGTGCTTGATGATGTCTTGATTTATTGCTTGATTGTTTGATTTCGTTGATAGCCGAAACTATAGCACCGAGCAAGCCAAACATTAACTGGGCTGTGACCGCTGTAACACATTGTTCTTGTTGACGCTAAAGAGCAACGACAGGGCGAGGAGGCATGGTATATCTCAAGTCATCAATGCACACGCTACACCACTCCACGAGAACAGCACGGAAACATCAAAACGAGAATCACAGCACGCAAAAAAAAAAAAATGATGGTTATTATATGCGACCACAAATGAGCGACTGGTTCATGATTCATCGGTAACTACCCGCTATTCATTCGTAGCGATAACTGGTGAATTTGTGCAACACTCCATTGCTCATCGACATGCATATTGCATATGCATATACTTACTAGGCCAGTAAAACTTTTGATGCAATTCCGTCCCAAGGAGAGTATCTTCAGGTTCTTGAGGGCATTCAGGTTTGCAATTTTTTCAATGGCGTTGGTTGAAAGCGACAGTTTCCTGAAAACATTACTTGAATATATTACCAAACATTTTGTTGCATCTACAATAACGACTTTCTATAGGTACAATCGCTTAGAAACGCAACGAAATTGGAATTTTTAATTTTGCGGGAAACGAAATATATAACCGAGACTTTATTGGTTGGCACACGAGATAGTAATTGAGAGCAAGCAAAATGAGTCACTATAAAGAATAGACGGTCTCGATCAATCCGTGGAGTCGAACGAAAACAGAGCAACAATCCTGCAGCGCTGTTCCATTTCGACCGAGCGACAGACGTCCCTCACAGGACTTTTCTACTGTGCGAAAGCCGTCCCGGACCAGACTATTTAACAGAACGATAATCGTCTCTGACAGGACTTTTTTACCGAACGATAGTCGTCCTAGACAAGACTATTCTACCAAACGATAGTCGCCACAGACAGGACTACGAGTATTCTACTGAATGATGACTGTATGTACCCTTAGAACAAAGGTACCGTTTCGTCGTATGTATGTAAATAGCGGCCGTTCCACGGAACAATAATTGTCTGTCAGTCGCATTCCTTCTACCATGAAGGACGGCTGTTTCACCGAGCAATAATTGTTCGACGGTACCGTTCTGCCGTATCTATGTGATACCTATCGTAAAGAACGGCGGTTTATCCGAACAGTAGGTAGCTGTCTAACGGTAGTCAACTGATGTCAATTCCAGATAATTTGGAAACCGATGCCGACCGAAGTCATCAAACAATGCTAATAACCAAACGAACACAAGACATTGAGAAATTATCAACTCTTAAACAAATAAGACCATCGTATTCACTATCGAGGCTTCATAACAACTAACAAACATGCCTAAAAATGCAAATTTCGAAATAAATATCAAGTTCGTTTCGGTTTGGTATCGGCATGTCGGTGCCGATACCGGTTTGATTTTATCGTTAGTATCGGTTTTGCGGCGTTAGACTATTATTCCGTGGTATCGGTAAGTGTAACCGATTGACATCGCTAGACGTTACCGTTCACCGAACATGTTTGACGGTACCGCTTCACCGACGATTACTGACCAGGGGCGATGCCGTTCTGGCACCGAATAAACAGAGGCCGTTCCATTGAACGGTAACTGTTTGACGGTGGTTGATAACGTTCTATCAAAAAGTCACAATCAGTGAACGAACATAAAATGGTAATTCGTTCAGCGGTACCGTTTCATGTTTATAAGTCAATACATACATAAAAAAAACGAATCAACCCAGAAGATAAATCAATAAATCACACAACTCAAAACAAATAAAATGTTTTGGGAATACCGTTGTGCATCGTTTGAATATAGGCATCACACAAAGCAAGCTAAAGTTTAGCGGCCATCTAGCGAGTAGCGATGTATGTGCCCATCGATGCCGATTCCACTCGTACTGACTGGCAGCAGACGAGCTGGTTGAGCGCAGAGTCCATCTTCTCGATCGAGGGGAACATGCCGTTCAGCTTGACCTCGGCGGATTCAGCTGCCTTTTTGCCAGTCTTCTCCTCCCACAGCCGAAGTGCCTCCTTTATCATCATACTTGTCACGCTGCAATTAAAACGGAGAAAATTACACTACGATATATTTAACAATGATCTCACCGAAATTTATTTGGTGCCAACTTTACAGTCACACAGTACCTAAGCGGCGTTCGAAGTGTCAAAATCGTAAGGAGAGTACCTCAGTCATTTTTCGAGCAGGTTAAAACAATATTGGTTAAAGGAAATAGTTCACTTTTAACATGGGGTTTTGAACTGGATTAGGAGTTTCGTACCTTGAGCTTAGACAAGCACAAATCAGGAGCTTTTACGGCCCAACGATCACCCTACCCAGTAAACATGCCGGTCGGCATGTTTACTGGACAACACGCCAAAAGCATCACCCGGCGATGGGATTCGAACCCCGTGACATTTTGATTTGAACGCGAGGTTAGCGCGCTATCCACTACACCACGCAGCCAGATAGCTAATTTAGTTTGTTTTGTTGGGTTATGCCCTTTCGGTCTGACAAGACCATTTCAGAGCCGGAAGGATGATAGGATGGACATGGAGACATTGGTCTTCTTGGCGAGCACCCTGGGTCCAGTTCATAAAGAGTCCCTGGTTCCATTGCTGTTACGTGACACTTATTGGAAAGGGCGACCCCACAATGGATTCATATAGCCACTCTTACACACCTGCACCAACGTTTCCCAAAGTGTCCCTTTGATAAGTGTCCCTTTGGCAAAGCGACACTTCATGCCGACTGGCCTTTCTATATGAACTGGGCCCGGCCCTGGTGAGCTGCCGGGGCTGAGCCTGACCAAAGGATAGGCTGAGCAGCCCCCAAGCACTCACCGCACCCGGCTACGGGCGAGCTCGGCTTACGGGCAATCCCAAATGGGATAAAGTTTCCCGTCCAGTCCGGATCAGGGGGTTGCGGCGTGGAGGAAGATTTGAGTTTCCTGAGGATATTTTGAATACAGAAGCTCTTTATGAAACATGAAACATGTATTTTATATTATTTTAACGGTCAAAACAGCGGCCGATGTCGGTCCGACGTCGGCTCGACGTCGGCTGGACCTCAGCAATTGAATTGATCTCGGTCCGACGTCGGCTGGACCTCGGCTGGACGTCGGTACATGCGGGCATATCCGACATCCAGCCGACGTCGTGCCGAGGTTGGACCGACGTCGGGCCGACGTCGACATGCCGATGCCGAGTTGCCGACGTCACCCCGACGTCGGGCCGACGTCGGCATGTTTACTGGGCGGACACAGCTGAGAAACTGAAAACACCAGAAATGCTCGAACACAACACCACAATTTCACCCACCAAGCTCAGCAATATCAAAATATCAAGGCAATATGCTCTGACGCCAAGCCCCTATCTCCCGCGCTTTCCTCTTCACTCGCTTCACTCAACCAGTAAACGCTGTTACCATGGTAACCGAAAATACTGAAGAAATCAAGTGACGTCATAGCCGTAACCTTTCCTAAAAATATACATCAACGAAACCAACGAGCATTTTAAGCATTTTCAGGCCAATATAATAAATGTTTTATTGAAAATGTATCAAAGTTGCCAGTAAATTTGCTTCAAAAGCAGCTAAAATCAATAGCAACCATGGGAACAGTATCACTATTTCCTACCACAAATAGTGTTTTCATACGGCAAACAAGTTGTATGAGTGCTGTTTTAGTGTTAATTCGATTACTTTAATAATTTCAAAGTTGAATTTACTTGTGAAGAACAATATTAATTAAGTTGACGTCAGTAAATCGATCCAAACATTTATTCGATTTCTTCACATTGCAGCTTCATTTCTTTTAACCTTGGAGCGGTTAGTTGTGGATGTTTTGTGTCGGGGTTGTGTGCGCGTATGGGCGGTGGTTGAGAGAAGTGCAACAATATGCCTAATAAGCCTAAAAAAGACAAGGTAAGGTTGAAAAACATTGGTGTGGTCTTTTCTGTAACTATTTTTTCACTTGGTTGAGATGACAAAGTCATTTTAGGAATCAACGAGGATGCGGAAGATCGCACTGCGTCGCATTTGTCAAGGATAGCTGTTTTCTTTCCATTTATTTACTAGACATTTTCTTCTTGTAATGTTGCAATCCATTGTTATTCTTTTTTCTTTCCCTGAAAGTTTTCTTGGGTTGTGTAGTTGTGTCATACGCATTCAAGGTTGAATGTATGGGACATTGGGACAGGTGGTACATCAACATAGGATTTTAGATATGCCGTAATCACCATGCTACCTATATGTGGAGGGCTTTTGATGTCAATGCATGCATACATACATACATACAGATTCAGATTCAGTCACTTCCATACAAGTATTGGTACCAGTATTGTCCTGCCTAGTTGCAAGACATTATTAGGTATTGGTTGGATTGCTTCACATTCACAGCAATGGTAGGTGCCTAATAGGATGCTACTTTTATCAACATTAGTATAAGTAGCTACCTAATTTTCACTGCTACATCTACAGATAAAATATTGGTGATTTGTGAGTAGGTAATCAATAATTATCCTTAATCTTGTTATAAATTAAGCAATTGCTCAGAAAATAGTAGGTATATTAGAGCAACACACTGTAAAGTGAGGATTATGGGCATGTCATTTACTGCACTTTATCTTTGTAAAAGTTCAAGAACGATCAACATCAGTCGATAATACTTTGAGCTCCTAATACCTAGCTGCATGAAACACAAAGATACCTATAACGTGCTAGATAACTTGCTGTAATTTACAAGAAATCAGTGTAACATTTTCTTGTTCTCAGTACTTTCAATGTTCCCAGTACTTTCATTCTTACAAACATGATTTTTTTTCTCCAGGACTCAAGCAAGAAGGAGTCACCATCTTCCAATGAAGAGGTAGGTATGAAAGCTTGCATATAGTTCTCGTTTTTGTTGTGTCTCTTTTATTGG